ACCCCCAGGCCTGCTCCCAGCCCGAATACTGCCACTTCTAACCCCACCTCTCTCAGTCAACTCCTTGAGCCCCTCTGATCTCCTCCCCTCCCCTTCCTTCCACAGCTGTCCTTGAACCCTGGGCCTTTCTTCCTTGTCAGAGCCCACTTCCTCCCTTATCTCGACTCCCCCCTTCCCCAGCCAACTACCCGTCCCCTCCCCCTAGGGCCGCAGACTTCCTGTTGAGAATCTCTGGGGCCTCACTTCCACAAGAAAAGGAGGAGCCTGCCTGCTAATCCTGCCTCCCCTGCTTGCTCAGGCGGAAATGGGAAGGGGGTCAAGCTAAGACAGTTCCTGGGAAGGGGAAAGGATAGGGGCAGAAGAGGAGGCCCCGTTGCCCCAATATGTCTGGTACCCCTGGGACTGGCTGGGAAGCCACAGAGGAAGGAAATGGTTAAAGTGGCTTCTCAGCTGGCCTGGGTGCCAGCCTCTGATCTGGGGATTGGAGGAGGCAGGCATACCCAGCTGTCCCAAGAGCCCCCACCTGGCACCTCTGCTCTGCCACCTGCAGACTGAGTCTTCCGGGCATCTCAGTTTCACTGTGTACCTTTCTCCTGGGCCCGCTCAGCCTCTGTAGCTCTGTCTCCTAGTGAGTTTGCCTTCAATTCTCACCTCATCTAACTCTCCATTTTTCTGTGAGTGTTCTGCCTCACCCCTGTCTCAGGCACTGCCACTCCATGGGCCCTGCCTCTTTAAGGCATAAACAAAGAACAGCCTAGCCCAGCCGGTGTGGCTCAGTGGTTGAGGGTAGACCTGCGAACCAGGAGGTCACAGTTCAGTTCCCAGTCAGGGCACATAACCGGGTTGTGGGCTTGATCCCCAGTGTGTGGGACATCCAGGAGGCAGCGGATCAATGATTCTTTCTCATCGTTGACGTTTCTCTCTCTCTCTCCCTCTCTCTCTCTCTCTCCCTCTCTCTCTCTCTTCCCCCCCCCCTCTCTCCCTTCCTCTCTGAAATCAATAAAAAATAGATATTTTAAAAAAACAAAAAACACAAAGAACAGCCTTGTTTTTGACCAGCCAGAGAGACACCCACCCCCCGGCATCCTTCTTGGCCACTGAGGTAATTCACTGAAACCCACAGGTTTCCAACTCCTTCCCTCTACTTCCCCAGTCACAGGCTAATGCACACCTAGGAACACACCCCTGGCACCCCCAACACCAACTCAGGGCCTAATCATACACTTTCTGCCATGGATTGCCGCCCCCCATTGTGATAGTATTAGAGATAGGGCCTCTGGGAAGAAATTAGGGGTAGGTGAGGTTATGAGGGTAGAACACTCATGATGGGATTAGTGCCCTTATAAGAATCATAAGAGCTTGATCTGCAGCCCATCTGAAAGCCAGGAAGGGAGCTCTCACCAGGAACCAAATCTGCTGGCACCTAGGCCTTGGACTTTCCAGCCTCCAGAACTGAGAAATAAATTCCTGTGTTTAAGCCAACCAGTCAATGATATTTTGTTATGGCAGCCTGAGCTGACACTTCTCACATGTGTACATGCACAATAGGTCCCTCTACCTATACACAAGCATGAGTCCCAACAGAATATACTTCCTCCAAATTCACAGTCACAAGTCCCTATACATGGCTCAAAGGCCCATTTTTACCAGTTGCTTGCACCATGCACAGCTTGGATGTGAGAGGATGCACTTCTTGCAGGATGGGGCTGGCTTGCAGGATCCCAGCAGGGACAGATCAGGATCACCCCATTCTGTGGCCTCCCCTGGGGATGAGATCTTGGCATCCAGTTCACTCTCACTTCTGCTCAGAACCAGCAGGAAAACAAGAACCATTGACAAAGCCACCATGGCCTGAAATTGGATATGAAGGGAGACATGCCGATTATTAGGGAGGACCCATCTAAGTTCTCAGTCCTCTAAACTTAGCCTGTGGTTGTCACTCTCAAAGCTCTACCCCAACTCTTTATCTCCCCTCATAGTTTCACTTCCCTGTGTGGATTCAGCAGCTTCTTCAAAATGGCAAGAAGAGGCAAGTACTGGGTCATGACCCATCTCTCCTATGTGCAGACTTGAAGAGCCCAAGGTGGGTCCTAGCCAGTTTGGCTCAGTGGATAGAGCATCAGCCTGCAGACTGAAGGGTCCCAGGTTTGATTCCGGTCAAGGGCATATGCCCAGGCTCGATACCCAATTCCCAGTAGGGAGCATGCAGGAAGCAGCTGATCAATGATTCTCTCTCATCATTGATATTTCTCTCTCTCTCTCCCTCTCCCTTCCTC